AGAAGAAGAAGAAGAAGAAGAAGAAGAAGAAGAAGAAGAAGAAGAAGAAGAAGAAGAAGAAGAAGAAGAAGAAGAAGAAGAAGAAGAAAACACCTACTATTAGAAAAAAAACCCACAAACTGTCAAATTCATAATCTCATAAATCCTTCGCCTGATCAGGCCAGGACTCAAAAACGTACCAACAGTCAGGATCCCTGAACAGGAAGTTGACTTCAGGTGGATTTGCGTTTCACGGCAAACCCGTTATTCTGGAATCTGCGGCTCCATTTATGGACAGCCCCGATCCCAGGAGGCTGGAGGCCAAACAGGCGCACACACACCCATCCTTTCTTGGCAAGGCTGCCCAAAACCTCCGAGCTGTTACGGATCCTGCCCTGAACAAAACCCACTTCTTCCGTGCCAGGAAGACAGATCCCTATTGTTTATTTTGAAAAAACAAAGCAAAGCAAAATAAACTACGGATGGACACATTCCTCTCCTCAGTTGCTCTTTTCTTTTCTTTTCTTTTTTCTTCATCTGATCTGTTTTTCTTGCCTTGAATAAAAAAGTTGGTTTTGTGCCAGGTCCTGGGAGTGATGTACGCTCTTGGCTTTGTCAGTAGTTATTTAGGGAGCTTGGCTATTTTTAAATATATATATATATATATATTATCTATCATATTGGTTTTTATCTATTTAAAGCTGCCCACATAGTCACTCGTATAAGGTGGGCAGCTTTATAAATCAATCCAGAAATAAAAATCCAGAAGAGATTCAGGGGGAAAAAAAACTGCTGGAGGTGAAAAAAACAGAGAATCAAGGAACTATTTCAGGATAGATAGTAGATGACGTAACAGAGGGATACACGTGTGTGATTAAAACATGGCACTGCGGCCTGCAGCTCTTTTCCTCAAATTAAACCTGAGGAAAGATAATGAATGCCAGTGAAACAGAAGAAGAGAGAGGGAACAGCATGAATAATTCAAAGAAATCCAGATTGCTTGGGAGTTCAGAGGAGCAATTACAAGCAAATGCAAAAGCCAGATATAGCTAAGTTAAGAAACTGGCCCCTTCTCAGAACAGTATCATTTCTGACACATTACTACCCAAAATTCAGTCTGGGATCTGTCATTAAGCCAATGTTCGCTCTGCTGGAGCTAAGTGAAGCTTATTTAACAAGCCCAAGTTCAAAACTCCTTGACTTAATGTAATGTATGAACCCAGCAAAGGTGCGTTTAAACAGTGGTTAGCTTCACACTTTGCACGTGTGTTTTCACTATGTTTTACAAAACAAGCACCAGCTTTGTATCCCAACTAAAACTGGACATAATTCACGGCCTTGCTTAGCAGCTAAAATTCTCATCCCAATTGTGGTTGTCAGTCAAGCACTATCTGTATTATGCTTCTTTATTTCACATATCCTTTTACTGTACAAAATCCCACTGAAAAGTCCATCTTAAGACGAGTAGTACCTTTACGTAACAGCAGGGGAAAAAAGCACGCTCGATTCAGCGTGAAAAATGAGAGCAACTTTGGCAATTCTCAGGAAGACACACAGAGAACTTTCTAGCTAGCCCTCTGAATTCATCCCCCTTTGCTCAGTGGGGGGGAATATTCAGTGAGAATAAACTGCCGTCCATACACCTCACGCCAATACACAAGCCATACAACAGGAACACATTTAGTTCATATCATGGATTGGGTTTGACTTGCACGAAGTTGATGAGATACTCTAAAGCTGTACCAACCAATCCATCATTATGATCCCCTGGAGAAATCTCTACTAATGGAAAGATACAGCAGGAAAAGTTGCAAGAAGAAATTCAGACAAGCAAGCAATTCATTAAATGTTTATGGATCTCATATTGCATCCAGAAGAATCTAATCTGACACCTTCTTAAGGACTGCTGCATGTAATTTTTAATGTTCCAACTCCAGGTGCAAATTTAAAAAAAGGACCCTAAAAAAAGATGATTTGGATTATAGGCTCTATAACCAAAAAAAATACTGCGTTCTGTTTCAGGCTTATTCTATTACCTAGTGGAATATACAAGATTGGACTTTTTCTTCCTCCCTTTTAATCCACGAAACAACAACCCTGTGAGGTTGGACTTCAAAGAAGGGTGAGATTGCTACTCTGCCTAAGCTTAATATGCAACTTACAAACAACAATAGTCAAATTTGCAAAATACTGTCATGTGAAGTCAAATCCAAGCAAAGGGATTGTGGATTAGTGCAGCATGTTCTCCACTTAGGGATATGTAGATTTTTGTTTCCCAGAATTCCCTGGCCAGATTAGACACTGCTGAGAATTCTGGGAGTTGAAGTCAACACATCTGGAGTTGTCAAGGCTGAGAAGCAGGTGTGAAATCAACATCTGTCTCTTCTATTTCACTCCTCTGCTCCAAATATCGATACATTATATACATTACTCTTAAATATATTCCCTTAAATATATTACATGTATTATGGAATATATCACCCTTCCCAGTAGTTTTAAGCAGTTTTGAAATTCAGCTAAGGACCTCCTTTAACCCTAGGATTCAAAACTTCCCATCCTAAACTAAGTCTTCCTTCAACCTTCTCTCGCTGCAGATAACAGTATATGCCTTCGAATTCCCAGAATTCCCTACCCAGCATGACTGCTGCTAAGAATTCTGGGAGTTGAAGTCCACAAGTCTTCAAAGTTGGCCAAGGTTGGAAGGCAGCTTTTCACAAACAGGGCAGATCCTTGCTTATAAAATTATGGCCGTTGTCATAATCTGACTATGTTAAATTATGGGTCTTTACTGCAATCCCTGGAGCACAACTGGATTATCTGTGAAGTCAATCCGGAAGAGAGTCCACACCTGAGCCCAAAGCAAAGTTAAGAACCATGGATTTACCTCAGGAGTTCAGCTACAATGGACCAAGCAGGCATCAAGGCAACATTATGAAGCATTTCTAGCCTTATCACGCGGCCAACCTCACTCTTTGCACCTGCACAATGACACACCACTAGACAGAGGCATCAAACTAAGCTTAGCTGTTAAAAAAAGCTTCTACCTTAAGAAAAATGAAAAGCTCAGCTTGTAGCAAATGCAAATTAAGTGACTCACAGATAGAACCATCTAGGCTCATTCCCCACAGCCTAATTCCCTTCCTCTTTTTTATCATTTAGGTCAGGGCCCCCAAACTTGGCAACTTTAAGACTTGTGGACTTCAACTCCCAGAATTCCTCAGCCAGCTATGCATTTAGGTCGGGGGTCCCCAAACTTTCAACCTTGGCCCTTGTTGGGAATTCTGGGAGTTGAAGTCCACAAGTGTTAAAGTTGCCAAGTTTGGAGACCTCTGATTTAGGTCAATGTTTCCCAACCTTAGCAACTGTAAGATATGTGGACTTCAACTCCCAGAATTCCCAACATGGGCCAAGGTTGAAAGACACTGAGATCTAGGTTATATATAAACCTCAGAAAATGTGAATTAGGCCTAATGTTTTACAATGACTTGGCCTAATATCTTACAATGACACTGAATCAAGGAATGGTTTGTTTAGTTATAGTTTAGGGCAGGGACGTCCAACCTTAAGACTTGTGGACTTCAACTTCCAGAATTCCCCAGCCAGTTGGGAAATTCTGGGAACTGAAATCCAAAAAAGTCTTAAAGTTGTCAAGGTTGGACACCCCAGTTTAGAGAATAAACCATGAAAGGAGTTGTACCCCTACAGTATGTTAAGCTATAAATCATAGTTAACAGTGAACCACAGCTGGAATACCTTACGGCAAACCAACCCAAAACAAACTGACATTATCTGGTTCTTGCTACACCAAATTAATTAAGACAAACCTAACTAACTTGAACCAGGATATTAAATTTGATCTCATTTGGGTCAATCCTATTGGGGGGGTGATGTTACTCTTCTCCGAGTTTAAATGTATTTGCTTCTCCACTTTGTTTATTTAACAGTGTACCAGTTTACACAAAAGATGACCCAACCACCAAACATTTTGCAAGACTGCATCCGTATCAACCTGCAGGTAAAGAGCAGGAAATCTGAATTATTTCCCTATTTGTATTTCTGAAACTAAAAATTCCTGGCACATGGAAAGCCCAAAGTTTCTTAGGGGTCTGGACAAATTGTTATCCCAAAGGTGTATGAAACAGCACTGGTGAAACAATACCAGCCTTATCTGTAATGTGACTCCCTGCTAGCCAAATAAACTGAGCCTAAACAGACCAGGCCCAACCATTAGCCAGAATGGCAGCCTGTTCATCCTGCCACCCTGCCCGTAACACCAAAGACCAGCAACTATTATTTAATTTGTGGATCATTCTCCAATCCAGTGCTGAGGACCCCACCTCTTCGTGGACCAAGCCTGCATAGATCTCAGTGCCTAGGTCCTTTTCGGGATAAATAAGACTGACAGGCCCCAATTTGTCAGCAAAAAGTTGGAGAAGGGAACACCATTCAACCCCAGTAAACCCCAGTAAGCCCCAAGTTACCTGCTCCGCTCCGTAGACAGTGGCAAACTGCACAAACTCTTCTATCCGGACAAATCCATCATCGTCCTGGTCCAGAGCTCGGAAGACGGTTTGGAGCTGAGGAGCATCTTCCAAACAGCCAGGTAGCTCTTCCTCCAGGTGTTGGGCCTGCTGCCCCAAAGGTAAGTGGGGAGCAAGGTCGTTGGAAGACCGGAGAGGAGGGAGCAATGTACTTGGGGGGGTCCCCATTAAGGGTCTCAACAAGGGGGGACCCCGGCCAGGGTGAGAGTCCGTGCAGTCCTCCATCTCCTCCGTCCAGGAGCAATCCAGCAAGAGCTCAGGGCTGTAGGATTCCTTTTCCGGAGGGGCTGCGAGATCCAGGAACGACCCTGGGGGGATCCCCGAAATGGGGCAGAAAGGCTCCTCCGCCTGGTCCAACTCTCCTGGGGTCGTTGCTGCCTCCAGCCGTAAATCCGGAGCAAGGGGAGGTTCTGCTAAACAGCTCCAGGGCTCCCTTTCCTCCGGCTCCTGGATCGGCCCGGCGGCGTCTTGCAGGCGATCTCCCGCACCTGAGTCGCTTTCCTCGCACCTGATTGGACCGTCGGGTCCCCGAGCCCCCGGACCGGGCAGACAACCTCCGACGGAAGAGGAGGAGGGGGAGGAGGGGGAAGAAGAGGAGGCTCGGCGGGGACCCCGCTCGGCCATCCCGCGCAGCACTTGCTCCAGGGAGGGAGGCGGCGTCGCGTCCGGCAGCATCCCGGCGGCGGCGGCGGCGGTGCTGGCGGAGCTGCTTCCCCCGACGGGGCTCCCTGCCAAGCGGAACCTCGGCAGCTCCGGACCGGGCAGAGGCGGCGGGGACGGGGGTCGCCGGGGGAGACCTTCGGCCTCCAGGGGCTCCAGACTCAGCCTCGCCTCCCGCGCCGTCGAGGCCCCCGGGTCGGCTAGGCTGCGGAGCTCCATGGCCGTCGGAGAAGCGGGCGAGGGTCGCGTGTCTCCAGCCCCCTCCCTCCTCCTCCTCCACTTCTTCCTCCTCCTCCTCCTCCTCCCCCAGCGGGGGCGGCCGAGCGGGGCCCTGTCCAAGAAGCCCCCGGCCCGACGAGCTCCCCGCGCCGCCTTCTCCTCCTCCTCCTCCTCCTCCTTCGCCCCCGCCTTCGCCGCTCTTTTGGGGGGCGCAGCCGGGGCGCCTCCATCAGCTCCGCGCCCTTCGCATCTCCGGCTGCAGCTGCTCCTCCGCCAGCCGGGCTCGGGCGCCGGGGGCGCGCAAAGCGGGAGCGCGCGCCCGCCCGCTTCTCCCGCCCGGGGAGAGGAGTGGGGGAGCGGGAGGGAAAGGATGCAAAAAGGGGGGGGGACGTTTGCAAAAAAAAGAGGAGGGACCCCCACCCCCAAAAAAGCAGCAGCCCCGGCGGCGGAGACCCCCCGCTTGCAACAGCAGCTGGAGGGGGAGTTGCTTGCAAGGCGAGGGCCGGGAAACGGGGTGGGGGGGGCAGCCGAGGCGAGGAAGGGGGGGTCGCTGGCGAGCCTACCCTGCCCCGCTTGCTGCAAAGGCGCCGGGCGGAAAGGAGGAAGAGGAGTCCGGCCGCTTCTGCTGCTTCCCGCGAGCCGGTTTGCCGGGAGGAGGAAGAGCGGCTGGGGTTGGGCTCGGCCTGCCCGGCGGCGCTGGCGGCTCCTCCCCGGCGGAGGAGGAGGAGGAGGAGGAGGGTGGGCTTTGTGCACGGCCCTCGCCCGCTTCTCCTCCCCCCCCCCACCCGCTCCTCCCCGCGCCAGGCTGGGCGGGGAGGGGCCGGCGATGCCCTCGGGAGACCCCGCTGCAGCCCCGCCGGCGGCGGCCTGTTCCCGCAGGGCTTGGCGCCCCAACTAAGGGGGAGGGAAAGAGCTCCGAGGGATCCATTTGGGGCTCCCCTCCCAGGAGCTCCCACCGTGGGTGGGTAGGTGGGGGCTCCTTTTCACAGCAGCGCCTGTGGAGGCAGCTAGGCCTCGACTTACAACGGCTCCGTTTAGCGACCTTCCAAAATCCCCAGGGCCCCTGAAACAAGGGACTTGAGTGTGTTTCCATTGCAGCCTCCCCTGATCGAAATCCAGCCGCTTGGCAAGGGATTTGCATTTATGACGGTCGTCACAGCCTCACGTTGATCCCCTTTTGAGACCACCAGGCCAGCCAAGTCCACGGGGAAGCCAGAGTCAGTGAACAGCTGTGGCGATTCGCTTAACAACTGAGCCAAGCCTGATCTTCAAATGGGGCGAACACCTCCCTTAACAGCGGCCTCACTTAGCAACATGAATTTGGGGTTGTGGATCGAGGACTTACCCGCCGTGCTTCTAACTGAACAGATGCATTGATTCATTTAAATCGCAATTGGGCCCAACATTTCTGTTGTTAAAGCCAGAGATTTGTGGAGTGAGTTTTGCCCCATTTTTGCGACCTTCCTTGCCTCGTTTGTTAAGTGAATCCCTGCCGTTAATAACATGGTCATTGAGTGAATCTGTCCCCCCCACTGACGATCACATGATCGCATTTTGTTCCCCAGTGCTGTTCTAACTTTGAGCAGTCACTAAACGAATCGTTAGTGAAGGGCTACATGTATTAACAGCATCCAGCAAGAAACAGAAATGGAGGTTGTTATGACAAAATATAGGTAGTCCTTGATTTACAACAGTTCACTGAGTGACCATTTGAAATGCCACCGGCACTGAAAAAAGCGACTTAGGACCGTTTTTCACACTTAACGATTGTTGCAGCATCCATATCTTCAAAATTTGGATGCTTGGCAACTGACTCATATTTATGACAGTTGCAATGTCCCAAGGTCAGGTGATTAATTAATTTTATTTAAAAGTGTCAACTTTCCTGAACTACAGCTCTCTTCCTCACGCCTGGAGAAGGTCAGTGGATTGAAAGTTGATGAAGCGAGCTGTAGTTCACAAAAGCTGACGCCTTTTAACCAAATATTAAAGGTTCTTCCTGATTTAGAGTTTTGCACAGGACTCCTGCCTCACTTTGTTTAACAACTGTGTGTTGTGCTAACTCTGCCATCCAGGCTAATTCAACCAGCCACAAAGCCTGTGAATCTCACTAAAGATTAACCACAGCATGGTGTGACCAGAGATTTTTCAAAGGTTTTAGTTTAAACACAGTCACAATTATACGCATACCAACTTATAAGTGTTTTCTTTTTGCTTGTGATACTATATTGCTTTTATCTTTATTTGCTATTTTTTGAAGCGTTCTTGCAAAGCAAGAAGTTGCAAACTGTAAACATTCAGGGAGCAACCTGCGGTGATCTAGAAAATTGATGCCACTTTTTGAAAGACCACATAATTTCCTGCCCTTCTTAATCCTTATTCCTGGGCAACCTCTGTGGCTTGATCAAAATGTCCTGCATCCTCAACCAGGGTTACTATCCTATCTCCAAAACCTCATTCCAGGAAGTCCACAAACTCAACCGGCTGTGCTAATTGTCTGGAGCGTCACCTCTGGTGAACCGTAGGATTTATTACCTTTTTACTTATTGTGTTTTCAGTCACCACAGACTCGCAGTCAAGGAGACACTTGAGCCAGTATTCCTACTCAATGCTCACCTCCATTGCGCATGTGCGGGGAGGAGGGGATCTTGATTTAAAGGGCCAGTAGCTCCCGTTTCAAATCTCCAAGGCTGTCACTCGGCCCTGAACACAAAATGGGTTTTCCATGGATTGGCAACACAAACCCCACCAGTACACCAGTATGTGATCTATAACACACCAATCCCTTTTGATATTTGGATCTTAAGAAACTACGTACTTTCTTTCATACTTTCTTCTGTACAGGGGGTTCTCTACTTATGATCGGTTGCTTAATGACTGTTCAAAGTTACCACAGACCTTCCCAGAGCTTTGTACAACACTCATCACTTGAGACTTTCAAGAAGAGATTGGACTGCCATTTGTCATAAATGGTGTAGGGTCTCCCACTTGGGCGGGGGGTTGGACTAGATGACCTACAAGGTCCCTTCCAACTCTGATTATCTGTTAGAACCAGCTTTCAGAGTTATGACAGCCAAACATTTTCCCACAGTCACACAATTGCATTTTGGGTGCTTGGTTTATATTTATGGCTGCTTGCAGCATCCCTTGGTCATGGAATACAATTTGTGATTTATTTTTATTTTTTTGCTGGTTTCTGGTGCTTATTTCCAATTCCTGGTGCAAAAAAAACCAATTGAGAAAATGGATTTGCTTTACAACGGCCACATTCACTTAATGTCTGTTGTAAAAAGTGGTCATAACTTCAAATCTGGCCATGTGACACCTTGATTTATTATTACAATTCTGGGGTCAATTCCAATTATCAGTCAAGAACTACCAAAGGATAATATTGTTATACAGATTACCACAAAGTGATAGAATAGATGAATTTTCATGCTGTGGAAAGTATGAATGCTCCTGTTTACCTTTTTAAGCGTCCCCAGTTTTACATCTTCTAATCTTTAACTTCTAAAACTGCCAACACAATCCGAACCTTCTCTTCAGGCCTAGACTGCCATCAAATCTGGAGGATTTACATCGCCATTGATCATACTTGTTCAGGCATTTGTCTATTTTATTTTAAAGGCATTTAATCCAACAAGCATTGATTCATTTGTTCTCTAACCAAATTCTATCTTTCTCTTTTGTTCCATCGCTGCTATGACTGAGAAAGAAATGCCGAATTTTCGCCGAACCTCGTCTAGTGACAGGCCTAGAGTGACATCTCGCAAAAGGCTGACGGAAGCCATGACAAAAGCTAAATTTAATCTCATCTCGACTTAATTAAAACTAAATCCAATCAATACAAATACTCTCCAGTCATGCGTGTAATTAGTTTCTCTAGGACAAGCAACACTTTTCAACAATTGAAGAAAGCATCCCAATCCCCTAAGCATCTCTACCCCGAAGAATAAAGAATGGGAGATGGGTTAAACCATGGTTTTAAGGCAGAAACCATGATTAGTTATCCCAATGGGAGAATCAAGCAATATGCTAAGGGAAACTCAAGTCACCAACAATGGCTTAGCCCTATGTCTCAAATGAGCTACTAATACTACTCTATAAAGCCTTAGTAAGACCACACCTAGAGTACTGCATCCAATTTTGGTCACCACGTTGTAAAAAAGAGACTCTTAAAGTGCAGAGAAGAGCAACCAGGATGATGAGGGGACTGGAGGCTAAAACATATGAAGAATGGTTACAAAAACTGGGCTTGGCCAGTCTAGTGAAGAGAAGGACCAGGGAAGGCAGGGTAGCAGTCTTCCAATATTTGGGGGGCTGCCACAGAGAGGAGGAGGAAGGGGTCAAGCTATTTCCCAAAGCACCTGAGGGCCAGTCAAGGAATAATGGGTGGAAACTGATCAAGGAGAGATTCAACCTGGAAATAAGGAGACATTTTTCTGACAGTGAGAACCATCAACCAACAGAACAGAAGTTGCCTTCAGAAGTTGTGGGAGCTTCATCACTGGAGGCTTTCAAGAGATTGGACTCCCGTATGTCAGAAATGGTGTAGGGTCTCCCGCTTGGGTGGGGGGTTGGACTAGATGACCTACAAGGTCCCTTCCAACTCTGATTATATTTTATCTGTCTGAACTTGGTTCTGAATTCAATATTACAGCTTATTCCTTGACTTAAAAAGTTTGTTTAGTGGCCGTTCCAAGTTACAATGGCACTGAAAATCATAACTTATGACCATTTCTTACACTTACAACCATTGCAGCATGCCTCTGTGTCAAGAGTGTATTCATGAACTGGACTAGAACAGGGGTCGCCAACCTTTTGGACCTCAGGGACCACCAAACTCATAATTTTAAATCCCGCGGACCACTAATATGAATTATGACTGGCGGTGGCTTGCTGACATTGGTGGCAAAGTCGGTCCCATATTCCAGAGCTGCAGCAGTCACAGGACTGACCCTTCGGTCATCTTGGAGTAGCTACTCCTCCACCCAGGTGCACCGGCCTCCCACGGACTGGAGGAGCTGCTCCGGGGTGACCAAAGGGCCAGTCCTGCGACTCCTGCAGCTCTGGAATATGGGACCGACTTTCCCACCAACGTCAGCAAGCCATTCCCAGGGCGGACTTCCCTCCCCCGCCCTTACCTTCCAGTCTTACCTTCCAGTTCCAGCTCGCATGTCTCTACTCAAGGTTTGTGCTCGGCCGAAGGGGGCGGGCAGCAGGTAGGCAGGCCACATGGGCAGCATAGACTTGTGATCCCGCGCAGCCTGGATTCATTGCTTGGGGGAGTGCTTGGGGGGGGGGGGACATTTCTCTGTGGACCCCCAAAATTTTCTCGCAGACCACCAGTAGTCCCTGGACCACCGGTTGGTGACCACTGGAATAGAGCATGGTAACAAGGCCAGCCGATGAATAGGCATAGCAACTAAATCAGCCAATGAGGACAGTTTGGAAACTGAAACTAGATGTAGCCTAGGCGTGGCTCTATATTAAACTCTGCAGCTATGTTGAGCTCTGTCTATTGAAATGAAACTGCTTCTCTCCTCTGTTTGCTTGCTGAACTAAAGTGAAACTGAGGTCTGTTTCTGAGCTACTGAAGTTACTTGCAACATGTCTCTGTCATGTTGGAGAAATCTACAACCGGTATTGTAAAATTTACTTAATAAGTTTATCAAGAAGTTAAATGAAGCATCAGCCACCTATGTTTATTTTTCTGGTGCTGAATTAATGCTTGCAAAACTCTGAACACTCTGGATCATGTGATCAAAATTCAAATGCTTGGCAACTGACTCGTATTTATGACGGCTGCAATGTCCCGGGGTCATCAGGTGGTACCCTTTTGCGACCTTCTGACAACAAATTCAATGGGGAAGCCAGATTCATTTAACAACGTTTCTAACTTTTAACAAGTTCAGTGATTCGCTTAACGACTGTGGCCCGAAAGGTCATAAAAAGGGGCAAAACCCATTTAACAACTGTCTTGCTTATCTATTATAAATTTGGAGCTCACTTGAGGTCGTATGTCAAGGAATACCTATACAATATGATTAACCTGAGATTTGTTTTATCATGCAGTGGCCTCTTTTTCTTATTTTAGAAACCTTTTTAAGACTAAAAACCTGTTATTAGCACTAAATCACATTATATTTTGGACTCCGGAGGTGCTGCTTCTTACGTCCTCAGGGATCTTTCATTGGTTCTTAATTTAGCGTGCAGCCAAAATCTCGCCCAGCTCCACACACAGGATAGGATGTCAAGTCTATTACAAAGCAAATTAAAAAGGGGTGAATTAACTGCATAAGACAGGCAAGGTCTGGGCGAGAGAGGGCCTGGATATAAAAACATGTCAGTTGCCATTAAGAGCTGGAGTTGTTACCGATTATATTTGGGTATCAAAGAGGAAGGCAAACAGGCTTATCAGGAAGCAATCTTTTGGAGCTTTAAATCCACATGAAAGGAGGCCGTGGATATAGACTCAGTGACATTTCAAAGGGAAAAACACACCCTCTGTTTTTGGAAGAGGCAAAAAAGCAGATGGAAAAAAAAGGAAAAAGCAGAAGGGGCGTGCATAAGCGCACCATCGTGCCTACCGTCCCTGTCCTATTGTCCCCATTTATTCGTACCTATTCCCTGTATTCTTACTCATGTTTATACTTTCACCTATTATCT